ATTGATTGAACGTTGTGTTGAACTTCCAGGGAAGAGCAACTTATCTGAACTACCAATCCAAAATGATCCAAAAGAGTATGGATCAACCCCACCTTGATACCGACTTAGTTGGTGATTCGTCAGCTGTATGAATTGGGGGAATATGATAAAATTATAAGATATTGGATGACGTCTAAGGTTACGAATGGACACCAAACATTAGACAACGTCGGCCTTATGTCTTACCTTAAAAACCCCCTACACTCTTACTCCTACCTCTTACCTCTGGCTGTTACCACACAGATTTCGGGAATCAACACCAGGTGCAATGATCGACACCACCCCACCGGTGACACGTCCAGTTGCGGCGGCGGCCGCAGCACCGCGGCGCGGCGCGGCGGCACTTCGAGCGGATCCTGGGCGCCAGGCGGCGGGGGAGGAAGAGATCCAAAGACCTCAGATGGAGGAACTTGTTGTTTGGGCTCAAGACGAGCTCAGATAGAAACTGGGGCAAACTCCCTGATGTGGTGAATTTTGGGATTCGAACCAATATAATATATATATATGTACACTATATATATAATGGACGTGAGTGTTGTACATGGGGGTGTAGAAAGTTGGGTTTGTGGTTTTGCTTTTGCCTCTGAGTATTTTTGGATCTATGCTCAGGGCCGATGTTACCAGGTAGCATCGGTAGATATCGGTAGCATACAGCCATATAGCTGGGTGGTGGTGTCAGAGATCTTGATGTTCAACCTGTACTTAGGACGTTCATTCTTTAACAGAAGAAGATATACACACAGTCACACATATTTTACAATATGGAACCCAACCCAACTGACTCATACTACGTTTCATTTGTTTTCGTTCTTCACCCCACCTGGCGCCAGTCACGCCGATGCCTGGCGCCAGTCATTTGGATGGCGACGGCTCCCGGCCCATGCCATCCCATCCACGTATATATACCAATCAGTTCGGGATTTTTGTCGAAGGGGTCAATCGACGAAAACCACCACTCCCATCATGGAGCCGGGAGACAGCGGGGTGACAGCGGGGTGACTGGGTGTTTCGCGACAGGGAAACATCGACACCGACTGGTCGCCGGACTCGCCGCCTGGATGCGGGAAAAAGAACACAGAAGGCCTATTGGTACTAGTATGGTGAACTGTTTTCAAGAATGGTCAGAGGTGGTTTTCGAGCCGAATTGTGCATGATTTTCTCAAGCTGGCGTTTCATGATGTACAGGAACCAAGACAAAAACCATCAAACACCAGCACTTTCCAGCAAAACCAGGAAAGACTTGAAGCAAGAGATTCAGACATGCAAAGTGAGTCGAAAAAGAACATCCTTTTTCAGCCCACTCTCAACGCCATGGGCGCCGCTTTTCTCCGCAGTCGCAACGAAGCACGCGAGCCCTTGGTGTCAGGAGATCCGGCGAAAAATTTCCCCGGCGCTGGCGGAAGCGCGTTCACGGGCACATGCGGATGCGGATCTTCAGGGTGGAAACATGTGGAAGACCTCTTCATCCCCATGGGTGCCATAGATAGCTTACATAGCACCTGGGACATAGCACGGTGGCGCGCTCCGTTTGACTTGCCCCTGGATCATTTGGATCTCTCAGAAGTGAGAAAGGGATCTCACTGGAAAAGGATTCAATATCCAGGAGTCACGTTACGACGAGGTGCGATCCATGGAGGTTAGGTTAGGGGTCCCTGTCACATCCACAGCCCCTGGGATGGGACGAGCCACACCACCCCGTCTGACGTGACTCCTGGATTCATGTGTTTTGGGATGTGGCACCATGCTCCGCGGCGCTCCGCCGACCGGGCGACCGGATGACATGTCACCGAGGATTGGAGCACCAATGCCATTGGGTGCCATTGGGCCTTCTCAAGTGAAAGCTGAACTCTAATATGATATGATATTTACTGTATACTGTATCTAAACTCTTTATATACCCCGCAGACATGGATTGTAAATCCTCTGGCATTTGGGGGCTTTACTTAGGGGGCTTTACTTATCAACAGTCTATAATATAATATATATATATATATATACGTAACAAAAATCATCAGCAAAATCCCTCCAGAGATGAGTCATGTCATGGGCAGCCATGCCCGTCGCTCAAGAACTAATCGTAACACAGTCAGCGAACTGAAAGGGCCTAGCATGGCTTAACCTCAATTCAACTATATGTTCAACATATTTTGCGCTGAAGCAAGTTTCTTAGGCTAGAATCTGTAATCAAATGCATCCAACAGAGAGAGCGGCCTAGGCTCAATATTGATACCCTCCGACCTGACATGGATGTGGATGGGGACTTGTCCCGACAGGGTGGTTCCACGATGGTTCGACTACGAACCGGGTGGTTCCGCTTCCGGTGAGTCAGAGTGTGATCTTGGGCACTTTTGGACACCATGTTTCAGGAGAACCACCTGCGGCTCGCAGCTGCTTCGAGCGCTGTCGGAAGCGTCGACGTGCCTGAGCTGCGACGTGTCGACGGGACAAAACGCGTCGCGTCGACGATCTGGGTGGTGCTCTCACGGAAATTGAGATACTACTAGTCTGGGATATATGAGATACATGGTACTCAGTTCACAGGTACTCAGGCTCAATCCGGAGATGCATTGATCCATAAACCACCATTTCTGCCCTAAATAGACAGCTCTGCGAGTTCCAACACAATACTACCTCTCGCGCCAGATCACACGCGTGAGACGCGTCTGGCTTATGCATGACGCACAGGTCATGACATAGCATAACAACCACAAAGGAAAGCTCAAAAATCGCAGACCGGGATTTCCCAAGTTTCAAGGGAACGGCCTGCCCCCCGTGCAAGCAAATTGGCCACCAGTTGGTACCCTTCAGGTGCCACAAACGGAATGGCAGCATCTATACAGCCTTGTGGAAGAGTCCGTCCACAGCTACGAGGTCGAGTGGAATTAAATGTCCCAGGGAAAGCATCAACTGTTGACATCTTGGAAAGAAGCAACATTCCCTTACGAATGGAATTGCACACGTCGCGGAACGTGTGAAGATTCTCCTCATTGACAAGCTTGTGCCCTTGCAAGTGGAAAACTGCACCAAGTTCACACAAAGAAAAGGACAAATTCCCAGACACTCCATGTATGGTAGATATATGCCTACATTGGGGTGGTTTTAGGGGTCAATGTAGGCATATATAGCATACATGGAGTGTTTGGGATTCTCATCCTGTTTCCACCGCAGGTTTCGGAGGAACGTGCATATGGCCGACCAGTTGGCCAGCCAGCCTTGGTGATCCAAAATGGCCTTTGACAGTTCAGGTCGAAGGGCAGGATCAATTGGCGCTATAGATGCAGCGAACTCACGCGCAGCATAGTCAGCAATTCTGTTGTTGATGATATGCTGAACAGTGGTATTGCAACAACTCGCTAACTCTTCAGTGAGAAATTGAACTGGAACATTCTCCAGCTTATGTGCAGGGATCCATGAGATGGAAAAAGGCCGAAAATCGCCTCCACCTCGGAATAAAACAAGGTCATAGAGAAAGTTCCACCAATGAAAGCAGCGCCATGTAGGCTCTGGTTTGTTGCCCGCAAAAATATGCGTGGCCTGTTGAACAACAGTTTGACAGTCACTAAAAATCTCAAGCTTGGTCGTGGCCTTGGAGCATGAGATGACGACAGCCCAAAGCTCGGTGGCCTAAGCCGATAACGCAAGGTGGTTTACCTGCCCTTTATGGATCACGTGTTGCCTGCCCTTTATGGATCACGTGTTGCTTGGAATCAACAACTGCATAGGCCCCTGTCATTAGCCACACGTTGTCCCCAAAAACAACAGATCGACAGATCCATCCGTCCAGACCTGGTTGCAGCAAGAGCCCTCAAACTGACTGGCACTGACAATGTCGGAAGCACGAAGTTGGAGCAGTCGACGTCGTACAACAAATTCAGGCTGATGAATATGGCCCAAGAGACCAAAGTTCACACCCAGTTCATGCACAGTCGGTGCACCAATGCGCGCACGAACCCCATCACATTCATGTACAAGGTGATGTAGGGTCTCCTTAGTCAGACCACATTGGCGGCAGGCGGATGTCTCACTCCATCCAGTGCTCGCAAGGCGATCATTCGTGAGAGTACATCCGACAAGAACGGATTCAAACCGTGTGTGGTTGGATACATCATCGCCAAGCATTTCTTTCGGGGACCGGAGGTACGACATCGTCTGACAATAGTCAAAGACGTGCGTTGTTTTCGAGAAATCTTTGCGGGGTGTGGATCCCGCAAGATGGTAGCATGTGTTTCAAGCAATTGCACGCAAGATCTTGGGCAGATCGAAGGGCGAAATCTCTTGGATTGGGATGGGTTGGGAGCCACAAAACGAAAGGCGCAAGGTGTTGTCAAAGGAAATACCAAGGAAATCACACGCCTGCTGAAATCGGCCTGCCAACGAATGAGGCAGGGACTGGTGATGCTCACAAGTTGGAGTGAGTTTCTGAACAGTCACACAAACAAATACAAGACCTAACAACTTCAATACATCCTCTACTACACCCACTGAGCCAGCTTCCAGTTTCTTGCGCAGAACTTATTAGTTTCTTCTCTTTTTCACCAGATTGTTTTCAGCCACTCTCATGGATGATGCTTACAAGCACCTCTATATATAGGCTATATAGGCTGGGTTGTATTTAACATAGTTCAATAGTTCATACTGAGTTGTATTCAAGATAGATCAAAAGGACGTATAACCACTTTTCCTCAATACTTACCTGTATTTCCCATATAGCTCAATAGTTCATACTCTACCATTTCTGACCCAGGTCCGTCCCCATCCTTCTGGAAACCACTTCTGCAGTGCAATAGTGTGTAGTCAGTGTAGTCAGTGCCGGAGTTGTCTTTTAAGAAAATTGCAAGGGTGAACATTGTTAGTATAATTGAATGCTGCATGTCCCTAGTTCCTGAACTCCGAAGCTCTAGGAATAACGTCAAAAATTATAGACTCATCTTGGCCTGCTTTTGAGTCAGTTGAACAGTTGATATTGGATGCATGTTGGTTTGAATCTTGACTCACAAACCCCCATGAGTTGCGTCTCAATATGCTTCATTCATGCACCAGCCATCACAAGGGCAATGCTGTAAGATCGTTGTCAACAAACTGCAGAGAAAAGTTGAAAGTCGACAAGTACTCAATCATCCATCCACTCTTTTGTTTGAAACCAGGCTTCTGCTAGACTTGGAATGGATTGGATTGGAAGGGTGAAATCCAAGCTCAACATGTCGTGCCTTCCCTAGTCCTACTTGCATATTGTCAATCTAAGATTATATAAGATTATGTTCTACCTTTCCTGTTTCAATCTGGAGTTTGATCTTCCTCAATACCACCCCGGAGTTCCGACATTCACAAACCTGACTTTCGTTGTTATTGCCATTCTGTGCTCCAAGG